AGAGCAGGGAGCCCGATGCGGGACTCGATCCCGGGACTCCAGGATCATGACCTGAGCCGAAGGCAGTCGCTTAACCAACTGAGCCACCCAGGCGCCCAATCTAGTGGTTTTAAACCACCATGCACCCTTACACTGTTAATATCTGGCATCTGCTGAATCTTCCTATCACTGTCTTTCATCTTAACGATCAAGTCTGAAATTACTCCATTACTCTTTTGGAAATGGAATCACAAGGCTGTAGATACACGAATGTGTGTAACAGATCCTTTGACTGTTACAGGAAGTAAGGTACAGATTATCTGATTTCCTGAAACTTGCTATTTAATGTGAAGGTAGTATTGAGTCACTGGGGAAGCCATGGAGAACGTCACTGCGTCCTGTCGCTGCAGCTTCCATGCGGGCAGGAGGTCAGTTCTGCGTGGCTGTGGCTGCCGGGCAGAGCGTTGTCCTCAGCTCAGGAGCTGTGCCCCCATCCTGGCGGCCACTGTGTGACCCTCCCTCCGTGTGAGTCCACAACCAGTCTTCCCCGTGGAGTGACTGCGCTGGACCAGGCTGGCCGGGCCCCACACCTGTCACGCACACCAGCGGCCTCTGTTCGAGGCCCTGGAACTTGGCCTGAGGACAACATCAAGTGAACCGTGTTGGATCCTTGAAATCCTTTGTGAGAAGCTACAAAATCACTGCTTCTATTCCTGAGACCATGCAGGGAAGGATCTTTTGAGGCTGGGATCTACTTGGGGTGTTGGGGTACTCCCCAGGACTTGATGCTGGCCTGGGCTTGCTGGGCTGCATTCCAGTGAGGGGTTCATGGGGCGAGGGTTTCCACCTGTCCTGGCTCACCAGATGCTCAAATTTCAGCGCTGTGAGCAGTACGTGGTCGTTAAGCTGCACTGAATCTGGGCTCAGGTCTTCAGGGATTTAGCAGGGTGTCCACATGGGTTTTTGTCTGGCTCGGGGCTATCTGGGGTCTTGGCATGAAGCTTGGTGAAGGCTGGCTCGGGCAGCCCATGCCAGCAGCGAGGTGACTCTTCCCAAACTGCTTTCCTTGAAGACTGCGTCGAAGCAACTGGAAGGCCATGTTTAGACCACATTTAGTCTACTCTCAGCAAACAAAACCTTTCTCTATTAGCTCCTCAGACTGGATTGTGAAGTGTGAGGTGCCAACATTTGAAACTCTTGGGGCTGCCAAGTGACAGTGGGGTGGGGAAGGACAATCTGAGGTCTCGTAATCAACCAGAGATGAGCCTCCAGGTGCCGGCAGATGCAAGACACATGCCACAGTCAGCCGCGTGTCCCCCATAGGATGGAGTCACGTGGCCACCTCAGTCAGTCCCTCCACACAGTATGCCTCCCGTGGAGGGTTCAGGGACCGTTGGGCCCCCTTTGGAGGACAGAGCTACCCAGCATGCCCGGGGGGAGGACTGCAGGAACATGAGGAGCCTAGTGTCTCCCGTCTGATGCACGTGGACCTCTTGAGCAGGCCGGCGTGCGCCATGTGTGCAGGGTCAGGTCTGGTGAGATGTTCAAGGCTGAGGCTGTCAGCAGTGCCTTCCTGTGTGCTCGTGGCCTTTTTTCTGCTGGGGAGAGGGAGCCCTGGGTCCCTCCCTCTCCTAAGGACCCCTGTCCATGGGTCAGGGCCCCACCCTCATGATGTCGGTTAACCTCACTCCCCCCCGCCCCAGAGACCCCATCTCCAAATGCAGTCACTTTGGGTATTAGGGCTTCAACATAGGGACTGGGGGGACACAGTTGTCTAGAGCAGGGTGCGCTGCAGTCTTGGGACATGTTCAGACGACAGTCGGTGGCTCACTCGGTTGCTGGAGCCCTTGTCTGCCTCCCTCTTGCTCCTGCAGATACCACATGGAATGTCTGGATCCTCCTCTCGGGGAGGTGCCGGTGGATGAGTGGTTCTGTCCAGAATGTGCGGCGCCTGGAGCTGCTCCTGCCGCTGGTAAGGCACCACCTCCCTCCCAGGCCAGGAGCGCTCAGGGGGTCTTCTTGTCTTCTGGGAGAACTTGTAGGGCTTTCTGTCAGCGCAGCTGTATGGCGGTCCATGGATTCAGGGCAGCCCAGGCCCCGGGAGATGCCCCCTGCGAGGCTGAGGGCGTGGTGGGCACACGTCAGTCCAGGATTTCCTTTCTTCCCAGATGCAGGGCTTGTGAGTGAGGAGGAGGTCTCCCTGCTCTTGGCTGATGTGGTGCCCACCACCAGCCGTCTCCGGCCCCACTCAGGGAGGACCCGCGCCATTGCCAGGACACGGCAGAGCGAGAGAGTCCGAGCAACTGTGAACCGGAATCGGATCTCCACCGCCAGGAGGATCCAGGTGGGTGCGCGCGCCGTTGTGGCTGCCAGTCCTGCTGCAGAGCTGCTCCCACTTGAGCCCATCTGGGTGCTGCCCACCCTGTGGCAACACCAGCCGCGGGCAGCCCTGGGAGGGGCAGTGGTGGCTCTCCTTTGCAGTCTGGCAGCTCACCCAGGGAAAGCGGCAAGCTGACGGGCAGGGGTCAGAGGTCCTTGTGGGGGCTGGCCCCATCACAGATGCCTGCAGTCCTTCCTCACTTCCTCCTGTGTCCACCTCGTGCCCCATGTCCTTTCTCCCTGGTCCCCAGCCTGTGCCGCCCCCCCCTTTGCTGGGTGACCCTGCTGTGCACGAGCACAGTTCACTGCATCAGCCCTGGCTGTGCCGTTCACGCCTCACTGCCTGCCTCGCCCTCATCCTTCATTCTCACCCTGAACTTGCTTCTTGGGAGGCCCTCCCAGGCCCTGTAGTGCCTGCAGGAAGCTCTCAGCCATTTGTCTGTCAGAAGCAAGAAGGGGACACCGGCTAGGCCTGGTACTGGCAGGCCGAGGGCATCCAGCTTCTGTGGTTCCCTTGGTGGGGGCTGGCATGGGGCTCATCCAGGGCTCCCAGGTGGTGCCACACCCACTGGGGTCCTGCCCAGAGTCCTCTGTAGGGCACAGGGAGATGCGTGAGAAGCCCGAGGGCGGTTGCCCCGCTGACGGCACCCTCCTTGCCATGTAGCATGTCCCACGGTACCTCATGTCTTCTCTGCTGGACGAGACCATTGAGGCCGTTGCTGCTGGCCTGAGCCCTGCTGTGTACCAGCGCCCCGTGGCGCCCCGAGCCCCCGCCAAGCGCAGGAGGAGAGCAGGTAAGCCCAGGTGTGGTGGCTCGGCTGGTGGCCACATGGGTGTGTCCCTGAGAAGCAGTAGGCCACGTGCTCGCCCCCCCCACCCCACCCCGGAGCTTCACCCCCAGAGCCACGTCAGGTTCTGCAAGCTGACTTTTTCAGGTCACAGACATCCCGCACAGAAGCCCCTCCAGGCCAGGCGGGTTTGGTCCGCTCTGTCCTTCTGAACACCCACTGCAGACCTGCACGCACATCTGGGCAACGCGGCCGCCCTGACCTTGGTTAGGAAGCACTGTGCAGGACTGCGTGGCAGAACTGCCTTTTTGCCCCTAAATGCAGCAGTACCCCAGGAAGACCTGGTTCTGGGCTTTTCTCTGTGGGAGCTGTTGAAATGATTGCTTCATTCTTGTCCTTTGCCGCGTTGGTTCTGGTGATTTGGTCCTAGTAAGTCAGGTCCTTGCCTGGTGCCAGTAGGTCCCTCCCGGGGAGAAGCCTTGGGGCAACACGTGTCCGGTTCCTCCCTCGCGTCATCCTCCGGCGCTGAGCATGGGGATGGCTTCCAGCATCAGGCTCGAGCTCCGTTCTTCAGTGGGCGTGGGCTCCAGTGGAGAGCTCCCCCCGGTCATCTGTTTAAAGCACTGTGGCTTATTCAGTGGGTCACGATCTGAGGTCTTGTAGCGTCAACTTTATTGATCCAGGTTTGATAGCGAGGACTCCTGCCCCACCTAGCCCTGCCCTTCCCAGCTGATGCCCCCAGCCCCCACCAGGCAGCCCTGGCCTCTTCGCACGAGATGTTAGTTTTGCCTGTTTTCAGACTTCACATAACGAGACATTCACGAGATCCTGAACGTGTGCTGGTGTGTCACTCAGCATGGTGATTTAGGAGTCTGGGTGGTTGTGTGTGTCAGTGGTTGATTAATTTCCGTTTATTGTTGAGGAATATGGATGTTACACAGACATACTGCAGTTTGTTGACGCGGTTTCCTGCGGGGGGTCACTTGGCTTGTGTTGGGTTTAGGGCTGTTGCAGACAGAGATGCTGCGAATGTTCCGAATGTCCCTGTACCCTTGTACCCGTGGGTCGTAGGCACGTGTTTGGTTTCTCTGAGGAAGGAGAAGACCAGACCACGGGCTCCCTGGGTCAAGATGCAGTTAAGGTTACGTGGCTCTCTGTAGCCGCATCAGCAGCATGAGAGCCGAGTGCTGCGCGTCCTTCCCAGCCCTGGGGTTGGCCGGTGTTTGTCCTCACCGTGACCATGGGGTCTGTGCGACGTCCCTGCCGTGCCTGCGTTCCCCACCGTTGGGCTGAGACCCGGGTGCTGTCTAGCTCTGTTGCTGTGGGGGTGTGGGAGTGGGGATCCTGCATTCATGTGCCTCCCCAGCGTGGGCCCGTGCTCTGTGCATGTTCTCTGCTGAGGGTGGGCCGTCCCTGTCTAGTGGACAGAGCCGGGAAATCCATCCGAAGGTCACACCGATTCTTGACTCAACTTATGAAGATTATAAGGTTTTACTTGTCTCCCATCTGCGTCTCTCGTTTCTCGTGTCAGGAATCCCACATTTCAGTGCTAGCTCGTGTCAGTGCTCACCCCGTTTCCATCCCACAGAGAACAGCCTCAGAATAACCGTTCCAGGTCTTGCCAGCGCTGTAGTTCAAGGCGGGACTGGAAGGTTTTCCTTTTGTCCCCAGTGCGTACCCCACTAATGGCAGGCCGCACCCCCATTACCTGTGCTCGGGCTGAGAATAGTTCTTCTGTCTTTGGTTATGCCTTGTTTGCTTCATTTTGCATGGTAGTTCATTTTTGCATTGGGTTCTTTTTTGGTTTTTTGTTTTGTTTTGTTTCGGCTTTGCTAGTGAATTTTTTATTTTTATAGGCTTCTCTCAAACCTTTGGCGGCATAGGGAGAAACGAATAGTGAACCCCCACTCAGCCATCCTGTCGCCCAGCCTCAGCTTCACTTCTTCCCCTTTACCTGCTCCCTCCCGTATTATTTTGAAGCACATCCTTCACGTCATCATCATTTTACTTGGAGGTATTTTGTAATGTGTTTCAGAAAGATACAGTCTTTTTTTCTTTCAGCTGAAGCACAGTGTCTGTGTGACACCTGAGAGGGTGAATAGTAATTCCTTAACACCGTGAAGTAGTCTGTCAGTGTTGAAGGTTCTAATTGTGTCATAGATGGGATAGAATTTTAAAACCCAGTTTATTTGAATCCGGAGCCAAACAAGATCCATGTGGCGCTGGCGGCTGTCTGGTGAGCGTCTCCTTGTGCTCTGGACGGTGGAGGGAGCCAGGTCGCCGTCCGCGCCCCTCCCAGTCTGGCGGCCTGCAGGCCGTCCTCGGAGCTGCAAAGTCACTCGCCTTCACCTGGGACTTTTGTCTGTTTGGATTTGTGTTTGCAAGTTGCCTGGTGTTGGGAGCAGGCAGCGCCTGCTGGTCTCCCTGCTCATGCTCCTCGCTCAGCCCCGTGATCTCACTGAGGGAGGCAAGGAGAGGCTTTCCTCCTGCGCCGGCTGCCTCCCAGTCCTGCGGGGGTTTGGCCAACGAAGATTCAGGCCTTGGTTTGTTTCTTTCTTGGAAGCACCGAGTTGCTGGTAGCATCCTTGCAAAGAGCTCAGTTAGGGTTGTCAGCAGCATTAGGGACTCACGGATTTAGACATGTGTGATGTGTTAATGGCATTCCACGATCGCTGCATCTCCATGGAATCCGCTCCGTCCAGGCTGAAGCCCCTGTCGGTTTCCCGGGGGTACTGGAGCGTCATGGAGTGAGAGTCGCCCTTGAGCCCATGGTAGTGTCTCTGAGGTGACTGACCACGGCCGAACCCCGGTGTTGTGCGGTTTAATTTTTAGGACGTGTTCCTAGAGATGCGCGGTAGGTCCTCTGTCTTCCAGTCTGTGGGGAGAGTTCTCTGTGGTTCGACCAGGTGGACACACACCTGGGGCCATTTGTTTCCTTTTACTCTGGATCGCCAGGGTTGGTTGGTTTTTTATTTCATTTTGTTATATAATGATGTGAAATGTTTATTGGTTATAAAAGTCAGATTTGCAAATTGCTCTGCACTGCCTTGCTTTCCCTCTCTCGCTCCTCCATGGGGAAACGCTGTTTTTTAAATTATGGCTTATTTCTCCATTAAAAAAACCCCAGTACAGTGCACATGCTGTCTATATGCCAGGTCCTGGCTGTGTACGGCACATCCTTGAGGTGGGGACGCCCAGGGGCTGGGTGGGGGGCCTCAGGGCCCACAGGAAAGCATAGACTCTCAATGTGCTTTTTGTAGGAAGACGGAAGAAAGTGTCGGGAAGAAGGAAAACACAGTCCAGGTCGTGTGTGAAGAGCAGGAGCTCCGGAACGAGGTCTAAGAAACGCCAGGGTCGTGTGAAGAAGAGAAAAGGGAAAACGTCAAAGGTAGGCTTGGAGGGTAGCGTTCCCACTGCGCCGGTCAGTTCCCTTGTGCAGCTAGGTGGTGGGATGCACAGAAAAGCCTCCTTTTTCTGTATTTACTTAGAGGTCCACTGATAAAAATGAACATTTCCACAGGACACATTGAAGATGGGGCTGGGACAAGAGATTTTCCAGGACCCTTCAGAGCCGGGCGTCCTGAGGGGTTGTGTATGACTCTTGGCACCCCAGGGGTGGGCAGGCCAGAGGGTGTGGAGGCAGCAGGGCCGTGGCCACCAGCTTGTCCGGGAGGCAAGCAGATTGTTAGCTGGGTGGGGGAATGGAGAGAGGGATTCTGGCTGGGGCGTGCAGCTGGGCTTTCAGCCAGAGTGGTCTCGGCCTCCAGCTCTCTCGCCACCAGGCTTTCAGAGCGGGCCCCTCGTGTGTATGCAGCCCGTGTCTCATGTCCCTGCTCTGAAGTACCGTCCTCACGGCAGCTCCTGGCTGGACATTGGAAGCACGTTAATGCATGAAACACAAAGAGCTCGGTTGTGGCCGTCGTTCAGGTGTTTGCCGCATCTTTGTGTGAATTTATACTCAAGGTCGTTGCCGTTGCCTGACCAGTGTAAATTCATGTGGAAACCGACGCCTCCGTTTTACATGGAGTACGGGAGCCGCCGCTCCGCTGGTTCATTGAGGTGGAATTCCTGGAGGTGGAACTCCTGGAGGGATGACCACCCGGGGGCACCTGCGGCATGCCTGCCCGTGTGGGGCTGCCAGTCCCCTCCGCGCTCCTCCTCAGTGTCAGGTCACTCATCACCTGGGTGGCCCGCTCTGCTGCTCGTGATTTTGTGTTCAGAATCAAACACCACCTGCAGTGGGAGGTGTGCCAAGGTGGGGACGTTGGGACGTGTTCATTGATTCTGTTGAAGCAAAACCTCTAGAGTGTTATCGTTAATACACGGGAGGCCCTTTGGCTCCGGTGTAGCATTTCCTCAGCCTACGGTGTGGTATTTCTGGAGCCTTTAGCTCCCGGCTTGCTCGTCATTCCTTTCCTTTTGTGACTTTGGTTCAGAATGAAGCCACAGCCCGCTCCCGCATCGCACGGACCCTGGGCCTCCGGGGTCCGGCCCGCGGAGCCTGCATCCCATCTGTGCACAAGCCAGCAGACCCCTCTCTGGGGCTGATGCGTGCGGACATCGGAGTGGCCTCTCTGTCGCTCTTTGGAGACCCCTATGAGCTGGACCCCTTTGACAGGTAACTGCAGGGGGATCTCCCTCCTTTCTTTGTGGGCAGTGGCCTCGGATTTTGCATTTGCACAATGAGGGTGAGGATTCCTGACTCCTTTTCAGATTCACATAGGTGGTGTGTGTAGAAAGAACTCTCTACAACCTCACCTGCTCACGTGGAGGAACGTCTAGTTTGCACATCTGCCCCACCTGCCCTGTGCCCACTCAGAGGCTTGGGCAGTTGCCAACATGAAGCCACTCCGTGGGGCCCGTGTTCAGTTTGGGGGCACAAGGGCTGCCACGTGTGCAGTTGAGGAGGGGCTGGGGGTCTCCCTGGGCCTCCAGTGTGGGGTCACCATTCCTTTGGCCTGTGTGCTCTCTCCAGCAGTGAAGAGCAGTCTGCAAACCCTGCTTCCCCTTTGAGTGCCAAGAGGAGGGTTCTGTCGCAGTCAGCGCTGCGTTCTCACCGGCCTGTGGCCAGGCCCGTGGCCATGGGGCTCTCCAGGTGTGTGCTGGCAGGGACCGTGGTCCGGGGGTGGTGGGGTGGCCACAGATTGGCCTTGCGCTCTGCCTGCCCCAGGAGGAAGTGCTGCAGTCAAGGGCACGAGCTTGGAGTGGCAGGCCACAGTCTGCCTGGGTGCGAGCTGGGGCCGAGTAGCCACGGGTGCTTGGGGCCACCTCTGCCACAGAGCTGCTGCCCCCTGGCTGGATTGTTTGCTTCTGCTTCACCCCTCAGTGAAACCAGTAAACAGGCTGCCTGTTGGTGGCAGTTGGGGTCGGAAGCATCAGATGATTTCACCTCAAACAGCCTGCTTTTCTTTTGTCAGAGCTGCTGGGTGTATCTGATTCCCTCCGCATGCAGGGGCCCGGCAGGTGGCCTCTTCTGCATATGGCAGTCAGGACCTGGCGGGGGGTGCCGGGGCTGGGGGGCACCTGCCTGGCTCGAGGGACTTGGGCATGGGGAGGCAGCCGTGGGTCTGTACCTGCAGGAGGAGCGTTCCTGCTACAGCGCCTGAGCCAGAAGTGGACGAGACCCCCGTCCCAGACCTGGTGGGGAGCATCCTGTCAGGCCAGAGCCTCCTGATGATGAATGGTGCGGACATCATCATCCACCGGGATGGCTCCCTCAGTGCCAAGAGGGCAGGTGAGGCGGCCGCTGAACGAAGCCCAGCGGTGTCCACGGGGACGCCCTCTCTGCCTTGACACTCTGGGAAGTTGAGGGGGTCATCTGACCCACTGGTTCTCCTTGTTTCTGAGCGAGCGGTAGATGAGACATTTGAGGAACTAAAATGCATTCTCTGCTGAAAACAGACGTAAAGGGGCACAATTTTCTCAGTTCGTCTCTGTTAATTCTACATGACTTTCTGAGCAGAGTTGACAGGCTGGTAGTTTATGTGATGATGGGGTTTCTGGGCCAGTCCACAGACCCTCAGAGGCCGTAATGTGGCTGGTGTGTGTGCTCACAGAGCCATGGAACCAGCCCCTATGGAGCCCTCCCCCATGTATCCAGGCCCTGGCAGGTTTTTGGGTTGGGGGGTGCCCAGCCGTGGAGGATGGAGCAGACTCTGCCCCTCCCGGCCCCCCCTTTGTGACAAGCATCTGTAACTGGCAGGGGCACTTTCTACGGCTACAGAGCACAACTGTGAAACACAAGAGAAAGTCCCCACTGTGGCAGGTGAGCCCCGAGCGCTGCCCCCAGGCTCCCAGGTGCACAGAGGTCTAGCTCAGGGAGCAAGTGGGAGGAGGCATGCATGCATGCATTTCTTTCTTCCTTCCTTCCTTCCTTCCTTCCTTTCTTTCCTTTCCTTCCTTCCTTTTTTTAAGATTTTATTTTTTTTGAGAGAGCAGGCACATGAACTGGGGGGTAAGAGGGAGAGGGAGAAGCAGGCTCCCCAGCCTGACACAGGGCTCAATCCCAGGACCCTGAGATTGTGACCTGAGCCGAAGGCAGATGCTTCACCAACTGAGCCCCCCAGGCGTCCCGGGAATAGGCATTTACAAGCACAGCTTTTAGGAGAAAGCCATTGTGATCTGGGCCAGACAATGGACTGCGCTCCATAAAGGAGGTGGCGGGGACTGATGGCCGCTCACCCTCTTGCCTTTCAGCACCTGTTTCCTTCCCACGGAGCACCGGCCGGAGCACAGGTGGCTCGTCCCAAGGAGGGAAGCACCCTGGGCCCGTAGCGCCTCAGTCAGGAAGCGGGTTGCAGAGTGCGGGGCTGAGCTGTCCTGGCACGCCGGCGCCCTCCTGTGTCCCTGCACTCAGGACAGGGGCGACTGTGAGACTGGACTCGTCGGTGACCCCTCCGTCCGGTCAGACTCAGAACCTGTCAGGTGTGCGTGGGCCTGGCTTAAAGCAAAGGGACAATCCCCGATGTGATGGCGACACCCGGCACGTTCTGCCCCCCAACTCTGTGTCCTTGAAGACCTCCGCTAGCTGCTCTCACTTGCCACCTGCTGGCGCACTGCTGGACCAGGCCTTGAAGCCGGTTCCCAGGAGGCCCGACATCTCTGAGCTACCGAGGATACCAAAGGTCAGAAGGGAGGACAGCGGCGGCAGACAGGCGGATGTGGCTCCCCCCAGCGAGCAGCGTGTTGAGATCCCCAGTTCCTGCATCAGCCGGCTCACGGGCAGGGAGGGCCCCGGGCAGCCTGGCCATGGTGCCCGAGCAGAGGGCGAGCCCAGCAGCAGGGGCCCACAAGAGCCTGGCCCGCACTCAGGGGGCGGCTCCCAGTCCCCCGCCTCGCTGGGACCCTCGAAGGGGAAGGGTGTCAGCTCGACCTTTGAGAGCTTCAGGATCAATATTCCCGGGAACACGGCACATTCCGGCAGACTCTCCAACCCTGGCTTTTGTAACACGTTCCGGCCTGTTGACAATAAGGTGCAAAGGAAAGAGAACCCCTCGCCCCTGTTCTCCATCAGGAAGACCAAACAGCTCAAGAGTGAGATCTACGACCCCTTTGACCCCACAGGCTCTGACTCCAGTTCTGCCGGCAGCAGCCCCGAGCACCTGGGCTCTGGCCTCCTGCCCTCTGAGATCACACGCACCATCTCCATCAACAGCCCGAAGGCCCCAGCGTTGCAGACTGTGCGCTGTGTCACCTCCTACACAGTGGAGACTGTCTTTGGGACGGAGCCCGAGCCCCCTCGGGGGCCTTCCTCCAGCGGGCTCGAGCTCCGGGGTGAGGGGGCTGCTGAGGGGGCCTCCGACCTGGAGTGCGAGGGGCTGGGCAAGGGGGCTGCCGAGGGCCAGGGCTCAGCCTCCCGGGCACAGAGGCCATCCCCACCGGAGCCGTGGGAAGACAAGGACCAGCTGCCCTGCAGTACCTTCTTTGGCTCCGAGCAGCGGACGGTGACCTGCGTGACTGTAGCCGAACCAGAGTCCCCGCCCAGCCCGGACGCACCGCAGACGACCACCCACAGGATCGTGGAGCTGAGGTCCCCTTCCTGCTCCCGCTCCACATCCAGCTCCCGTGGCAGGAAGAAAGCCAAGAGGAAGCGGGCCACTGCCAGGGAGCACAGGAGGACCCGCTCAGGCTCCCGCTCAGGTTCCCGCTCCGGGGACAGGAGCTCACCGTCGGTGTCGCCACCACTGGGTGAGGACCACCCCAAGAGGCAGCAGACCAAGTCCCGGGGCCGGAGGTCTTCCAGCGACCACTCCAGCAGCCACGAGCGAGCCAAGCGGAAGAAAGCGAAGGACGAGGGCAGGAGGAGGAAGAGGGAGTCCTGGGGCCATGGCCGGCGGAGGTCCAGGTCCCGCTCAGGCAGCCCCAGCAGCTCCTCCCACGAACGCAGGGAGAGCAGGAGGAGGAAGCGGAGGCGGTCAGGGTCCAGGTCTCGGGGGAGGGAGTGCTCACCCCCAAGCAGCCTGGAGAGAGCCCGGAGGCACCGGCACCCGCGGGAGAGGAGCCCACGGGAGAGGAGCCGGGAGCGGCCGCGCACCAGCTGGGGCTCCCACGAGAGGAGGAAGCGTAGGTCCAGGTCACCAAGGTCGCCAAGCACGGAGCATAGGTCCCGGGAGTACCAGCGCCCTCGTTCCCATGAGAAGCGGCCGAGGACTCGCTCCCCAGAGAGGAAGTTGGCAGCCGCTCCCGCGGAAGGGCAGAAGCCCGACAGGGAGCAACCAGCCAGGCCACCGGCCTCAGTGGGAGCAGACGCCTGCCCAGCAGGGGCCGAAGCCCACAAGGCCGTTCCAGAGGTACCGGCTGAGTGTCCGCCCGAGGATCTGGATTACGGTGACTCTGTCGAGGCAGGGCACATCTTTGAGGATTTTTCGAGCGAAGCCTTCTTCATGCAGCTGGATGACATGAGTTCCCCACCCTCCCCAGAGAGCACAGACTCCTCCCCGGAGCGGCACTTCCCACCCACTCCTTCCGTGCCCCCAGCCAGCCAGCAGCCGGACACCAGCCTGGCAGTGGCTGTCATCAGACGGGAGGTGTCGCTGATCCATGGTGAAGACGCTGCACAGCCCCCGCCCCGGGCACAGAGCCCCGAAGAGAAGCCCCTGCTCCAGCAGGACGCCACTGGGGCTGCCGTGGTGCCCAGCACCCTGGGAAGCCAGGCTGTGGGCGGGGTGCCCGTGGGGAAGGAGGAAGGCCCCTCTCAGACCCCCTTGTTGCGGGCTAAAGCCCTGGTGAAGAGAGTCACCTGGAACCTCCAGGAGGCCGAGAGCGGTGCCCCTGCCGAGGAGCGAGGCCTGCGTGAGTAGGGTCCCGCAAGCACTTCTGGGGGTGGACTGGGGCAGCGTGGGAGGAAGGCCACTGTTTTGTGTGTGTGTGGGGGGGGGGTGGCACGCGGACCTCTTCGGTCACTGGGGCAGCGTAGGCCGTGGGGCAGGGAGGTGGCTGCATCCTGGCCTGTGGTCCTTGCTGCTGGGATGCTTTTCTGGAATTTTCCAGCCAGGAAGCAGCTTCTGGCCCAGGGTGGCCACAGAACACCCACCTCCCCTGTGTTGGCCCTCAGGGACGCCGCTCCACAGGCCCCAGAAGCCCCGGGAAGGGGTCCTGGAAACAGAAGACATGGGCCCCTCGGTGGGGTTCCAGCAGGCATCCTTCTCTGAGCCCCCTCTCCCCGGATACACACTTCCAGAGTCCAGCTTCTCCGACGCTGAGCCCTCTCAGGTGAGTGCCTGGGCTGGAGGGACGTGAGCTGGCGCAAGGCCACACAGGCTGGGGCTGAGGACTTCCCTCTCTGGCCGGGGCTCTTCCTGCTGTGGGGGTGGGGAGCGCTGCCCTGAGCCGTCCGTATTTCTGTCCAGGTTTATACACCCAACCTGCCCCCTGCCCCAGCTCTGCCCGTGAGTCTCCCGCCGTACGCACCAGCCAGCCAGCCCACAGTCCAGTTTATCCTGCAAGGGAGCCTTCCCGTGGCGAGCTGCGGGGTCGCACAGAGTCCAGCCCCAGTGCCCACGGCCCTGACCACAGCCCCCGAGTCAGCCGGCTATGCCCCCGGCACTGGCAACTCCGAGGAGAGGTCGGCCGCTCCCAGGCCTGCTGCAGAGAAGGCCAAGAATGAGGAGGTGAGTCCGGGCCCCCCTCTGGCGGGGGCGGGCCATGTGGCCCCCAGGCAGGGCGGTCACACGTGTTCTTGCTCTCAGTACATGAAGAAGCTGCACATGCAGGAGCGGGCGGTGGAGGAGGTGAAGCTGGCCATCAAGCCCTTCTATCAGAAGAGGGAGGTGACCAAGGAGGAGTACAAGGATATCCTTCGCAAGGCCGTGCAGAAGGTGGGTGCGGGTGGGTGGGTCTGTGCCGCCGCCTGCTGACCCAGACTGCGGGGTACCGGCCTAGGGCTGCGCAGCGAGGGCTGGGGCAGCGTGGTCACGCTGCCAGAGGCCACTTCTGTTCTCCTGTCACCGTGGCTCGGAGATGCTCAGGCTAAGTAAGCATTGGTGTTTGTGAGGGGACAGGACTGCGTCCCTGTCACCTGTTCAGCGGGCGAATAACAGAAGGTACATAACACACCACACTTGCAGGTGGGAAAGCGAGAGCCCAGGGCGTCAGGGCCAAATGTGTGGCATGCCGGCCACATGTCTCTGGCTGGGAGATGGACCCTCAGCAGCTGTGCGAGGCGGACCCAGCCGGGGGGGGAGGGGGTGCCCCGCTGTGTGCCTTGTGATGGGACCCCACGGGCTCAGTCCCTGTGATCCCCGGGGAGGCTTCTGGGTCATTTGTGCCTCTCCCCCACGCCCCCAGATATGCCACAGCAAGAGCGGGGAGATCAACCCCGTGAAGGTGGGCAACCTGGTCAAGGCCTACGTGGACAAGTACAGACACATGCGCCGGCACCGGAGGGCCGAGGCTGGTGAGGAGGCGCCCGCGCAGGGCGCCGAGAGCTGAGGCTGGGCGCAGAGCTGGGGCTGCTGGCCCCTGCCCCTGAGTGATTCTGTTGGGAGTGGCAGAAGCAGAAGCCTCTGAAGACGCCCAGCCAGCATTCCTGAATTCAGGGTTACCGTGATCACATGTGGTCTGTGCACCTGTCCTGCTCACAGTTTAAAACTGGACTTTTTTATATGTATATTATAGATACACAGTTTCCATTGTGTTCTAATTTATCAAAAATGGATTATCTTTAGAAACTTCTCGATTGACTCAGTACTTGAAAGGCGAAGCCTTTGGTGATCAGGAGGGGCCTGGGGGGTGGAAGGAGCTCCTTGTCCCTTCTCACAGATGGCCCGATTTTATTTTCTATAGTAATAAGGGAAGGCCATGCCCCAGTTCTCTGTTGTTCCGCTCTGTAAGTGACGCTCGTGTTTGCTGCCTCCCACCAACCAGAGCGCAGTGTTGGTGGGTCTGGAAGGCAGGGGCCCTGCACACAGCACAGAGTCAGCCGTTCGTGGTGCCCGCCCCTTGCCAGCACAGCTGCCAGGAGCAAACGTCTGCTGTTCCCAGAGCGTTTTGTATGCTTTGAGTAGAGTTTGTTGGCTCTAAAGTGTGTGGCCTGTTTCTTCATTGTGAAGACAGAGGAGAGTGGGTGGGGGCAGGGGTGGTCACCTCCCTTCCTGGGCCTGTAGGTCTTGTGGGCTCCCGGGAAGTCTGTGGTGCCCCTTCTGAGCTCCAGCCCCAACCCTGAGCCCACCCCTGGTCAGGACACCAGTGGGATTCTTGATTTTTTTTTTTTTTTTGAGTCCTTTTTATTGGGCTGGAGAGGGGTCTGGTCCTCAAGCCGGCTGCTCCACCTCCATGAGGAAGTGCTCAAGGTCCTCGTAGAGGCTGTTGGAGCTGGACAGGCAGAGGCCGAGGCTGCTGCTGTCCAGGGAGGACACCCCTTCTCGCTGCACGCACTCCAGGTGTGCCCGGCACAGCCGTGGCTCCAGCTGTGGGGAGGGGAGGGTGTCGTCAGGCCACAAAGGGGCTGCATGCGGCCTTGCCCCCAGGACCCCAGGCCTCACCTTCACCAGGACCAGGCTCTTCTCCTTGGGCCTCCCAGCTGACAGGTCCTGCCCAAAGCCCAGGTAGATGGTGTAGTGTGGGGAGCCCCGACGCCGGCGCGCCCGGAACTCCATCATCTCTGCAGGATAGGACTCTGGTGAACGGGGCCCCAGCAGGACAGGAGGGGGCAGGGACGGCACGGCCCCCCCAGGTCAGGTGCGTCACTGACCTCGGAAGAAGGTGCTGAAGTCGAAGATGGGGGTGTCCTGGTTCCTCTGCAGCAGGCGGGGGGTTGTGGAGGGACTGGCAGAGCCCAGGGGCCCGCCCACCTCCCAGTAGACCTTGCACTTGCCCAGGCGCCGGGCCCACAGCCCGTGCCCCCGCAACTCCAGCTGCAGGCCAGGGGCCACGTGCTGCAACAGCTTCTCTGTGTAGTGCAGCTGCTTCTGGTCAGGGAGCTCGGCCGGGCTCGGGAAGGCCACGTGCTGGGGCTCCGTGGCCGTGGCAGCCGGGCTCGGGGGCCCGTACAGGAACACGAAGCTTGGATGCCACACCACGTCCTGCAGCACTGTGCGGCCCTTGTACATGATGGTCACATCCAGGGCCCTCAGGCTGGGCTCTGCCTGTGGTCCGGGCTGTGAGCAGCTGGGCCTGAGCAGCACCTGCTCACCGGCCCCTGGGGGGCAAGGCTCCACCTCTTGGGGGGGCTGCCAGGGCTCCAGGGCCGGGGCTGAGCCTGCATCTGGGGAGGAAAGCTTCAGCTGGCACCCGGTCCCCCAGCCCCTCCCTCCTTCACACACCCCTGGCTCCTCTCACCTGTCACCTGGGCCTGGTGCCAGGGGGCTGTCTCGACTGCCCCTGGCAGGGACGGCTCCATGTCTGGGAGCTCTGGGTCTGAGGGGGAGAATGACGGCTGGGAACAGCTATACTGGCCCAGCTGTGGCTGGCTCCCTCCTCACTCCCACCCCCACCCCCACCCTCTCCCTCTCCACAGGGACTCTGCCATCCTACCTGCTCCTGACCTGTAGCATGGAACCCTGCAAGGCTGAGCACCCCCACCCAACACAGCCTCTCACCAGGAGCCTCTGGGGGTACTGGGTCCACCCCCCATGCAGCTTCCAGCAGATGGTCCTCCAGGCAGCTCTGCTTTAGAGCCTGGAGCAAGAGGTCCTCAGCATTGCCAGCTGGGCCAGAAAGGTGGCTTGGGGCACAGGGCTCAGGGCTCAGCCCGAGCCTAGGGAGCCCGCCCTGCAGGGGAAGAGAGGGCCAGTGTAAGCAGCGCCCCAGCCCCATGAGAAGTGGCAGCCCCGACCTGGGAGCAAGGAGGGCAGAACGATCTTACCATCAAGGGTAGGGCATCTTCAAGGGTCTTCTCCCCCTGGTGAATGCCCGCACCTTCTGAGAGAGAATTGGGATCAGGGGAGTGTGGGATGAGACACTGGAGTGGGACACTTGGGTATGTGTCCCTGGGTAGGCCCTCAGAGCTGGGTGTCCCCTGCCATTAATCCCAGCAGGCCAAATCAGCTTTCCCTGCCCTCCCCAACAACCTGGCACCAGCCTCTTGGAGGCCAGTTTCTGAAAGCACGAATCTGCCCCACAGGCTGTCTCCAGTGTCTCGCAGCACCGTGTCTCTGCCCTGAACGTCCTGCCCCCTAGACGGCTGCCCTCCCCTGGGGCTCCTCACCTCTCCACCCCAGCTTGGAGCTGAGCCCGTACACTTTATGTGGGTCAGTGGGGTCCCCCGAGTTGTCTTGCAGCATCACAAAGCGCTGCGTGCTACGCAGCGCACAGCGGAAGTTCGTTTTCCAGCTGGCGCGGAGTGCGCCCTCCAGGGCCAACTGGTCACCTCCGCCGCCGCCACTGCTGGGCGGCCACCTGCCGCGGGCGACAGCCCAGGCCTGGGGAGGGGAGTAGAAGGCGGAGCCTGGGGGCGCGGGCCAGGGCCTGGGCCGGCCCTCCCACCTGGTTGGGTTGGGGTCCCACCTTGAAGATGCGCGAGTCAGCCTCTCCCAGGTCCTTCCGCGCGAAGTGCTTCCAGGGCACGCGGAAGCGTGTGCGGGCCGCGTCCAGCCACCGCAGGCCTTCGTAGCGGCCGCTGCTGACCTCCCCCAGAAGCCAGTCTCCGAACAGCAGGCGCGGGGGTCCCCTGCGGGCGGGGCCACCGGCCGGGTCAGGGTGCGGGCGGCCAGGCGGTGTGGCCGCGCACCGCGGGGTGGGACGGGCGCTCACCTGTCAGGAGCCACGGCCATCGCTCCCTGCAAAGGATTGGCGTGGAGAGGCAGGTGGGCCCTCCGCGGGGAGGGGTGGTCACGGCCGGCAGGCAGGTGTTAGCACAGGTGGGAAGCGTTAGATGGTGTGGTCCAGCTGTTAAAGGCGTTGGGACCACAGATGTGGTTGGGGGCTCATGGCCACGACGTTGCCGAGGTGTGGGGTTCTGGGCAGCGGTGGCGCTGATGTGACCACAAATGTGGGGGCGCACACACGTGAAGTCACAGGTGTTGAGCCAGCACCCAGACCCGGGTGGGAGGGCGCTGGGGGGCCCTGCGGAGACACCACCAGAACGGCCGCGGGGTGGGGCGTGCCCGGCGCGCCGGGAAAGCGAAACCGCGCGCGCCGGGAAAGCGAAACCTAAGCCCTAAGCCGGGAAGTGAGGGCTCCGCTGCTCGCGACCTGCGGCCTGCGGCCGGTCAGCGTGCGACCCCCACCTCCCAATCCCGCCCCGACTCCCGGGACCGGACCCTCCCCGCCACCGCCCTGCTCTGCACTGCCCTCGCGCTCCACGCGGGCCAGGGGTCCGAGTACCTGCGTGCCGGGCCGCCGCGGCGGGAAGGTTCGTCTCCCCGAGAGGCTGGGAACAAGCGCTTTTATGGGGACGGGCCGGGGGCGGGGCTGCAGCTGCAGCCGAGGAAGTCACGTGCTCTGGTGGCGGGTTCCCTTGTGTGTGGGAGTTCCCCAGGACCCCCCGCGCAGGTTCCTGGGTGCGGGTGGGGGTCGTGCAGGAGCGGCAGGAGTGGCCGGTCCTGCGGGGTCCAGTCACTCCTCTCCCTCAAGGAGCACCCCCGGCACATGCAGGGTCGGGGCAGGGGGCCTCTGGCAACTAACGGGGGTGGGGAGGCAGCGGGGTAAGCTGAAGACCCCACACAAAACCAGGCTCTTCTTTTTTCCAGGAAAGTGGGTCATGGAGGAGGGCGTTGGGCAAGTGGCAGCCCTACCGTTTGGATTCTTTTTTTTTTTTCTTTTTAAGTAGGCTCCACGCCCAGAGTGGAGCCCAACCGTTGAATCTTTGCCATGAAGGCCCGAGCTGAGATCAAGAGTGGAGTGCTCAACCGACTAAGCCACCTAGGCCCCGCCTTGGGATTTTTTTTTTTTTTTTAAGATTTTCATTTTATTTAGAGAGCTTGTGGGCATGCGAGGGGAAGGGAGGGGCAGAGGGTTAGGGTCTCCGAGCGGACTCCCCACTGAGGGCAGAGCCCTACCCCAGCTGGATGCCGGGACCCAGAGATCATGACCTGAGCAGAAATCCAGAGTGCACCAGGTAACCGACTGAGCCAACCAGGTGCCCCCACCCCGCTGCCTTTGGAATCTTGAGAATTGTTCAGACAAGAATACTCATATACCCTTGAGAATAAGACATTTGGAAGGGAATTCGTGGTGCCTTTTCATTAGGAAAAACACCGAGGACCCCGAAGGGACAGTGTGGTGGGGAAGTCCTGCCTGCGGTCCTGTCCCGACGAAGCCAGCAGAGGGGGCTCTGGTTCCCCTCACAGCTGGGCCCACCTGCCACCCTGGCCCATGGCCTGCAGCCACTGCTCCCAGCTCCCCTCACCCGGGGAGCCCCTGCACAGAGCCACAGGTCACAGTCCAGGCGCCAGGGCCGGGTGCCTCTTCGCACCGAGCACCGGGCGTTTCCTGCCCCCACGGGACCTCACAGGCGCACTGGCTGGCACCTGGAACTTGCTTTCCAAAATGAGTGTTCCTGAGGTGGCTCCTCAGTTACCCCCAGGCCAAGAATCTTCCTGTCGGATGGGGAGGTGGGGGATCCGCAGTGCAGGGTGCCCCCCTCCTGCGACCGTGGTTAGGCCAGGAGAGGAACTTGGGCCGCCAGCTGGCGCTGGCCTGGGAAGCCCCGCGGACCGCGGGCGCAGCAGGTGGTTTACGGGAAGCGGCGCTGCGCTCCAGGCAGGGGCAGGGGGAGGTCCCAGCGCACACCCGGCGCGGCCGCGGAGGACCCGGGGCCGGAGGGGGGGAGGGGGTGTGTGGCGCGGGCGGGCCACGCCGTCCCCTCCCACGGCCGGCAGCTCCGGGGGGACTCGCGCGCAGCCGAGCTTGGAAATTGTCGCTTTATTGTGCGCCGTGGCGTGGGGGCGAGCGGCCCCGGCCGACCTCAGGGCCGGCCCGCGGGGGAGGCGGGGAGCCGAACTAGACGTAGGTGGAGCCGGCGTCCGGCGCGTCGTCGTCGCTGCTGACCTCGCTGCCAGAGTCGGCGGCGCGGGCCGCGTCTGAGGCGGGCGTGTTGAGGACCACCACGTCGGCCTCAGCCCCAATGTCCTCCCCGAACCACACGGCCTTGTAGCCACCCTCGGGCCGCCGTTCTTTGGTCAGGATGGACCTCACAGCCGCTGGGCCGCCTCCATCGCGGGCCACCTCGGGGGACTCTGAGGCAGGGCGCGCGGCCGCGGCGCTGGGGGGCTCTGGGGGCGCAGGCTCCGGGGGCTCCGGGGGCTCCGGGGGCTCCGGGGGCTCCGGGGCCGCAGCCCGGGTGGGGCCAGGTGAGGAGCGGGGAGCTGGCGCCCGGTTGTCCTCTTGGGGGGCAACAAAGGCCTGGTTGTCAAAGCGGAGGGGCTGGCGATCCTGGGGAGGGGACAGGGACAGCCAGGGCATCAACCAGGACCCCAAGCCTGGGCTGGGACCCCCACCCCTGGTGCCTTCCCCAGAGACAAGGATCCAGGCTAGTCCTTCCTTTCTCTCCGCCTCTTCCGGCCTCCTCCCCATTTTGTGGACTGTGATGTCTACACCCCATCTTTCCTCACCTCTGTCCCCTCCCCCCCCGCCTCTCCCTCTCCATCTGTCCCTCTCCGGTCCTGGCACCCCAACCCCTAGGGCCTCACCGGAGCTTTTCCGGAGCAACACTTGAGCAGTTGGCCGTAGTGCTTGTGGATGAGGATAAGGAGGGCAATCAGAGCCAGAAGAAGCAGCGCGCCCAGCACCCCGCCCAGGGCCGCCATGTCCACGACAGAGAAGCGCTGGTGCTCAACGTGGCTGATCCCCGGCTCGCCGTTCCCCGGAGTGCTGCCTCCTCCAGTCTGGGGTGGCCCTGCCAGCGACACACCACCCACTTGCCATTAGCACCCAGGCTCTTCCCCTGCTGACCTGCTCTAGGCTCTGAATGCCCTGGCAACAAGCCAGGCCTGGCATCCTCCCAGAGCTGCGGTTCTGGGGAATGGCACCACTCACCCCCCAGCTGAGGAGCTGTGTGTTCCCAGGGGCCCTTGGGGAGGCTGCTGAAGGAAGGGAAGGGAGGTGGGGGTCAGTGCCCACCAGCTCCCAGTGGAAGGCGGGGGTCCAGCACCATAGGAAGGGCCGTGAAGGCAATGCTGGGGCCCGTGGCGAGAACAGCCTGGAATTGTAGGGCCCCCTGGACCCCAAATCTGGCTTCTGCCCCATCCTCCATACACCTTCCCCAGGTTACCTTTTCGGGGCCCCCAGAACCTGTCTCTGTCCAGACCAGAGCAGAACCCCCCTGGGATTTCATGGTCAGTGTGGTCAGGCTGGGCCACCCTGGGGTGGGCCCTGCCCTACTGTGAATCCCAGGACCACTCGGAGTATGAGTCAGGGAATATAAGGGTGACTCTGGGGCAAATGGGAGGTGCTACCTGAGGTCTGTGGGGTCCTGCTGGGCCCAGGGGGCATCGGCTGAGAGGTTCCTGGCTTTAGCGTCTGTGTTGAGCCCCCGCTGGGTGAGGCTGATGGGAGGAAGGTGCTGGTTCCCACACTGGGGGGCCCCCCGGGCGTAGATGAGGCAAGTGGCCTCAGAGTTGTGCTTGAGGGGAGATGTGGGCCAGTGCCCCCCCCAGAGCTGGTCGTAGAGGGTCCCTGAGAGGGCCCTGGGGGTCTGGGGGCTTCCAAAGTGGTGCTGCTTGAGGGCCTGGTTGTTCCTCCAGCCTCTGGGGATGTGGGGGTCTCTGGGGGACCGGAGGGACCTGGGGGGCCAGGGACAGGATTCGGGCTTGCCTCTGCCCCCAGCATGCCTGCCCCAGGGAAGCCACCACCTGGGCTGAGCCGTCGCCTGGGGTGGGTCCCACTGACTCACCTGTGGGCGGGGGCTCCTCCCACTCCAGCACCTGTATTTCCACCACAGTGGTTGCTGTGCCTGCGGTCACTGTGTTATTGGCCTCGACCTGGAGCAGAAAGGGGGCTTGTCCCTTGCAGGCCCCGCCTTGACCCCTGCCCCTTGGAGATGCCCCCCTGCCCTTACCTCTGCATAGAAGACCCCCTCATCGGCCAGCAGGGCAGCAGTCAGCACAGTCTCGCCATCCATCCGGAAGTTGGTGTTATTGGTGATGCGATATGTGATGGCAGAGTTGAGGTCCTGGACACTGCCCAGTGAGTCCTGGGTCCAGGCTGCCCCCGTGACCCCCCCAACCCACCTGCAGTGGGGCTGGTACCTACCGGAAAGTCAGGGTCCTGGGCCCAGATCCTCAGAGGCAGGGAGGGGGCGGTTGCGTCTTTGACCTCCATGCCTGCTCCAGAGCCGCGCGCCACCCGGCCCTGGTACCGGCTCTTGGGGAAGTAGGGTAGGCTCCCAGTGGCATTTCGGGCCTCGATCCTGACCCAGGTCACCGAGTAGCGGGCACGGTCTGCCTGTTCACCCTGGGGGTAAGGGATGCCTCAGCGACCAGCGGGTCCTTGAAGGACAAGTCCTGCAGCCTGAGGCTCAGGAGTGCCATGGAGGCTCAGGGCACCCACCTTGACCAGCAGAGTGAAGGTCTTTGGGCTGGGGACGCTTCTGGTCATGGTAAGGTTGCCCGAGTCAGCATCGATGGCAAATGTGCCATCTTGTCCTGCGAGGTTGGTGGGAAGGCTTGGCCTCTTGCCCCCTCCAGTGGCCTGAGGGCTAAGGTCCCAGCTGGCTCTGCCCATATGGCAAGTCCCCTGGGATGTCCTCAGCCCAAGGTGGGGATGGGGCACAGGATGGGGAGAGAAGCAGGTGTCTGGCCCGCACTCACCCTGCATAATGCTGTAGAGGATGCGCTGGTTGATGCCCTGATCCCCGTCCACGGCGTGGATGGGCCCAGGATGTAGGACGAGGGGGGCTGGCTGCAGGGACAAGGACAGGAGGAGACGTCGTGGGGCTGCTGTGACAGCCCCAGCTCACCCTCCGGCTCCCTCAAGGGGAAACTCGTCTTTTGCACGATTGCCCACCACACGCCTCACGATCCTTTGCTACTGAGTTAATTTGCTCAAAGACATCTGATTGATCTGAATGACAGGAGTTTCAAGAGCTAGCACACACGGGACAGGGAGAGGTCATGGGGAGTCAGACTCGGGCCTCTCCGTAGGGTGGGAGGCCCTGGAGCCCGTGTCCAGGCCCCGCTGTCCTCCGGTGCCTCCCTGGGCCTCTCGGGCCGGAGCAGGGACGTCAGCTGGTCAGAGACGCAGCTGCCCCCTGGAGCAGCGCCGTGGCCCCTCCACACCACCACCCTCCCAGCCCACTTCACTGGGTTCCCAAGGCGCTGCCTGGCTCTGCCCCAGGACCGCCGCACCTACGTTCACAGGGTTTGCTCACCACTCACCACCGCGTGGTTGGGTGGGATTGGCTTTCAGAGGAACGTTCGTATGAAAATCGCAACCAAATTTGGCCCCGTGGCCCCCAGGCCCCACCCCGATGCCCATCCTGCCCCTTCCTGCCCCCAGTACCAGTTTGTGCCCCAGGGGGACAGCCCCGTGGTACTCAGCGTTGATGCAGATGTAAGGGTCTGAATAGCCACAGGGCAGGAACCAGGGGGGGCGAAGGTCAGCAGGCTGCACCTTCAGTTCCAAGGTGGCTGTGGCCGTGTGGCTGGGCTCTGCATTCTCCTCCTGTGTGTCCTGCAACAGCGGAGCCTGGCTGGATCAGGCCTGGGGGTCCAGGGCCGGGGGCAGCTCGGGTGGGGGACCTGAGCATCCGGGCCTGCTCACCCGCACCAGCAGCCGGAAGGTAATGTTCTGCCATGAGTAGAAGTCCAGTGGCTGGTCCAGCCGCAGGGCAGGGAGGTTGGTACCCACCAAGGAGAAGAAGTTACTGGCGCCCTGGGGAGGCAGAGGACGGGACTCAGCCTGGGACCCTGGGAGGACACAGAGAGGGGGGATCCTCGAAGGGGGGGGTTGGAGTTGGTGTAGGGGTGGGGGGGATGACACTGACCGGGGTCACCTCCTGGAGGGTATAGAACAAGATGTCATCCTTGTCGAGATCCCGGGCCTCCAGTTCCGTCTCAGGGATGACAGTGGTATTCACTTTAGTGTCCTGGGGGATGCAGGGGGAGTGGTTTGGCTACACCCTTGACCCCCACGGACGGATCCTTGAGGCCAAGCCGCTGACCCCTCACCCCAGGCTCCTCTCACTCACCTCAGGTATTTTCTTCACCTTGATTTTAAAGGGGAACTCGGGCGCGTTGTCATTGATGTCCAGCACGAACACCAGCACTCTCAGCTGGGTCACCTGTGGGGACAGGGTGGAGTCAGCAGCAGTGTGCTCTGATGGCCGGGGTACAGTGCACACGACAAGCCGTCTGCCCAGGGCCCCTGCTCTGCAGGGACTACACACAGACCACAGACAGCAATTCTGCAGCACACATGGTGGCCAGTGCCCTGGAGGAAAAGAGCACAGGGGCTGGGTGGGGTGGGGGCGCTGGCAAAGTCCCAAATGAGAACAGAGGTAAAACACTTGAATTGCTTCAAAAATAATTCTCAAAGAAAAGGAAGAAAGGAGAACCCATAGATTGAAAGAGGCTTAAGAGGGGAGCCCGGCTGGCTCAGTGGGAGGAGAAAGTGACTCTTGATTTCGGGTTGTGAGTTCAAGCTCCATGTTGGGGGTAGAGATGACTTAAACAACCAAACTAGAAAGAAAAGAAGGAAGGAAAGAAGAAGGGAGGAAGGGAGGAAGAGAGGGAGGGGGGAGGGAGGGAGGGAGGAAAGAAGGAGGGCGCTTTAGAGAAGTAGCGGCCAGTCTCAATAGGTGGGCTTTGCTGGGGTCTCTGTTACTGTGGGAAAGGGCGGACATCAGGTGTCCTGTGATGCTGAGGAGTTCCTTTTTCCAGGTGGCAACAATATTATGTTTATGTTTAAGAAGTGTTCTTATCTTTTAGAGACTCATCCCGAGATATCTGTGGGTGGTGTGCTGCAGTGTTCGGGTGGGGGCACCCAGGGGCTCCGAGCACAGGAGACCATGGTCACTGGCTCCTGCCAAGATGGCAGGAGCGTGGGGGCCGGGCTTGCAGCTTAGAACAGAGCGGTCAGTGCTTCTCTGAGAAGGTGATCTTGGAGTGAAGACGGGAGACCGTGAGAGAGGGGGGCAGGTGCACATCTGGGGAGAGGGCTCAAGGCCATGCACCCACCGCACAATCCATTTGGCCTCGACTCTGAGTGAGAAAGCAGCCGAAGGCGTCCATTTGCTTCATCAGAGCGTTCTGCCACACTGAGAGCGGACTGGCCAAGGCCAAGAGAGGAGCAAGCAGACCAGCTGCCAGTTGGAAGTTTCCAGAAAGGAGATGCTGGTGGCCAAGGCTCTGGTTGGTTTGGAGTCCAGCTTGAGGCAGAGCCCACAGACTTGCTTGTCGACAGAGAGATGTGGGGGAGAAAATGGTGGGAGGGAACTGGCAGGGTGAGGTGCCTTCCGTGTTGGGGAGTCTCTGCTGGGGGTCTGCATCTCGGGCAGAGGCTGGGCTGGAGGAAGTGTGGACGCCAACATACCACAGGGAGTGGCCCTGGACCAGGCTGAGCAGAGTGCAGAGGTCCGAGCCTGGAGTGTGTTGATGTCACAGGTTGAGGGAGGCCACAAGGGGGCTGGGGGATTCGGGGGTACTCACCACGGTGTCTCCACTTCTGCACTCCAGGTGCGCCTGCAGCATCGTGTTCTCCTGAGGGGGCAGAGAGGTGTCGGGGATCACCTGCCCAGCTGACCACAGCACACTGGCCCCACGTCACAAGTGAGGAGACAGGCAGAGAGGGTCCCCAGCATCCGTGCTAAGTCCAGAGGGCATCGGGGGCCCAGGCAGCTCCATCCCCCAATGGCCCTACCCGCCTTGGGGCCCAAGAGGGGTCAGTCGTTGCCTGGGGGGGGGTGGGCACAGAAGCCTCAGACCCCTGGAATGCCCTTGTCCAGGGAGGGGTGTGGTGGACGCACAGGTCCTATGGAGGGTGAGCCACCCAGCGGCCCCCATTGGGGTGCCCCGCCCAGGTCTGCCGTCTGCACCTCATAGTCAGGAGTCACATTGAGAAACAGCTGAGTCCCCTGGATCCAGAACGCGTAGGGGGTGGACGATGGGCCGAGGGTCACCTGCTGGCCCTTGGGGACGTAGATGTCAGCCAGGGGCCCGCTCTGATTCGTGTTCTCCTGGACTTCGAAGAAGTTGTTGTTCACAGAGCAGACTGGAAAGTTGGAGAGGAAAGGTCAGTGCCCTCCCGGCGCCTGCCTGCCTGCCTGCCGGCCGCCCAGTCCACCTGCCCCTGCCCCACAGGTACCCTGGGCCTGAGCCGTGGCCATGAGCAGTGGCAGCAGCAGGGCCCAAGCGCCCATCTCGGCGGCCGTCAGCCGGCCGGACCCTCTGAGCAGCTGGTGGTGGCGTCTCAGCCTGGGCGACCTTCGCCCCTGCCAGGCACCGCCCCACATTATGATCCTTTACAAGCCACCGGCCTCCACCAAGGGGGTTCCCGCTGGCCGCCTGGCCAGGCCTGGCCTGTTGCTGGGAGGGGGAGATCCAGTGGTTCCCCATCAGAGCTGGGCCACACGCAGGGGCCAACGGGGCTCAGCTCTCAGACATGGAGGCATGACGCAGAAGGTGCTCAGGACACCTGAGTGGGCCTGGGGAGGCGGCTGGGGGGCGTGGCT